TATCATACATATACCCTTATAACTACCATACATATGCCCTTATAAGTACCATAAATGCCCATATAAGTACCATTCATATGCCAATATAGGTACCATACAAATGCCTATATTAGTAGCATACTTAGTAGCATGATACTTATAAGAACATATGTATTGTTCTTATAAGGGCATAAGTATGGTACCTTTTTGGGCATATGTATGTTACTTAGAGCTTTTGTATGATACCTCAATGGGCATATGTATTGTTCTTATATGGGCATATGTATGACACTTATATGGGATTGAGTATGGTACCTTTATTGGTATGTGTTTGGTACTTATGTACTTACGTACCTCTATGGTACTCGTAGGACCACCGCAAGTGCGGTGGTCCTACGGGCCACCGCACTTGCTTTCCAAAACAAAATAAAAGAATCAGCCGTCTGCCGACGTTGGTGTTTCTTCCAGGCTGCACGCTTACAGAGGACAGCCTGAGCACAGTCCGCACTCCACCAGGAAACACACTTCCGCGTGCCCCAGGAGGTAAAGCGAGGAATAGCGTTGAAGACAGCGTCACGAAAGAGGAGGAGGGGGCGAGGAAGAGGCAGAGAGGAGAGGTCAGAGAGGGTAGCATGGAGGATGAATAGATTCCAGTCAGCTTTGGTAAACTGCCACCTAGGGAAAGAGAAAGGAGGGTGAAGAGAGAAAAAGGAAACAAGGATGGAGAAATGGTCACTGTTATGGAGGTCATCAAGAACACGCCATGTGAGATCTAAGTAAAGGGACAACAAGCAGAGAGACAGATCAAGATAGGAAAGGGGTGCGAGTTCGAGAGTCCACATGGGTGGGCTCAACAGAATTCAGAAGAGACAGGGAAAAAGAGAGGACGAACGATTTGAGAAGGCGGCCTCGGATGTTTGTCAGAACATCACCCTAGAGAGTATGTCGACAGTTGAAATCGCCCAACAGGAGCACTGGCTCTGGCATGGAGTCCAGGAGGTGCTCAAGATCAGGAAGGGAAAGCAGGACATTTGGGGGGAGATAAATGGAACAGACTAAATACCATTTACTCACAAAAACAAGGGCAGCAAAACAATGGATAGGCGATGGAAACAGTAGGGGAACGATGGGAATATCAGTACAAATCAAGAGAGCAGTAGAGTTATGGAGCTGGGGGCGGAGAAAGAAAGGAATAACCACATAAGTGACCAGGGCGAGCACCAAGCATCGGCTCCTGGAGACAAAAACAAAGTGGTGAAAACTGTAATCAGAAGTTGGAGTTCGTGGAAGTTGGCATAAAATCCACAAATATTCCATTGAAGAATAGACATTATCAAAAGGAGAAAGGACAACAATGGAGAACAATGAAGAAACAAAGGTAAAGAAGAACACCGCATATTAAGTAAGCTCAAGATCAGGATCAGCAAAATCAGGGTTAGGGGGGCATGGGTAAACTTAGTAAGGATGGAGGGAAGGGAGTGGGAGGATAGACCATAGGTAGACGGACGGGGGTCTGGAGGAGGGGGAGACGTCTGAGAGAGGCTGTCAAGGACAGCAGGAGAAGGGGGGGAAGGGGCAGAAACCGGGAACCGCACCTCAGCAAGGGCAGTAACCTAGGGTAAATCGAGGGAAGAGAGAAACCTCCATAGCTGGGACGGGGCCCGACCACCGAAATGGGAGGGGGACGTAGCAATAGTCAGAGTGGGGGGGCGGGGAAGAAAGAGATGCCTTTTTACCCGCTGGGGAGGAAGAAGGAGAGGAGCCAGGCTTACGTTTCTGACTCAAAGAGACAGGTGTACCAGCAACAACATACTGGGTGACAGACTCAATGGTCTCAGCATGAGAAGAAGAACGGGAGTGAACAACATGAAGATTGCTGGTTGATGGGCATCAGCCTGGACAGATAAGCAGCATGGAGGGCCAAGAGATTGTAGGGAAGGTCAGGAAGAAGGATTGGGGGGAGAAGGAACAGAAGACACAGGAGACATGGCGGCCAGGGTAAGAAGTGGGGATGAACTCCAGAAGGAGAATCAGGAGGGAGACCTTCTGAGACAGAACGCAAAGGAACAGGGAAGCGAGCATAAGATACACCGGTGAAAGGGTGGAGACACAGACTTCGCAGTCTGGCTTCAGGAAAAGTCAGACAATTCCAGTATTTCAAGTTCAGGACTGCTTCCTCAAGCTTGTAATGGATACACGTGCGGGAGAATGTAGGGTGGGCGTCACCACAATTGAGGCAGTGAGCCTGAGGAGATGAGCAATCTGTCTTAGAGTGGTTATCGTCCACACACATGGGGAATAAAGAAACAAGACTTGTGCATTTGAAGGCACCGTGCCCGAACTTCCAGCACTTATTACAATGTCTAGAAGAGGGGATGTACCTACTATCAAAGGTGATTTACACAACTCAAAGGGATTAATGGCGGCGACCATGAGGGGGTCGAGTGAACGTGTCCACCTGGAGGACACGATAGCCTTGGGCTTTGAGGATATGTTTAATATCCTCATGGCAGTCTTTTAGGTCCCTAACACCAGTTGCAACATGGTGGGGAGGAGAACAGTGCCAACACTGGCATTTAACCGAGGGTTTTTGGAGACCCGAATAGGGGTCTCCCCAATGTAGGACAATGCGGCTAAGCTGAATCCGGTGAAGGAACAGCGACGATATGTGTATCTAAACGGGTGGGGTTAAAAATAACAGAGGCATCCACCGAATCAACAAGGTGTTTATGGAGTGAGAAATCATCAGGAGGTGTAGAATCCAGAGGGAGATCAAAAGTATTTAGCCCATGAAGCAGGACCAAACAAGGCTTGGTACTTATTAGTATGGGAAGGGATTGTGCGAGTGCGGCCGTGGCAGGGACGGCATTGAGAACCCCCAAGAGAGAGAGGGGTTAAAAGGTGCAGTAGTCACAATGAGAGAGACTGAACTGCACCAGGGGACGAGGTGGTCACCACTGGCGGCGTATGGCTCGACCCATCCACAAAGGAGGGAGGGGAGCCGGGGGAAGTAGTCAGGAGCGTCAAAGGAGCAGCTTGGTCTGGGCCCAATGTAGCGGGGCCTACAGAGTCCGGTCTTCCAACACAGTCCGACTCGGGGGCTTGGTCGCCCACCCTACGAGCCTGAGAAGTCATAAGAGGAACAGTATTCAGAGACATGAAAACGAGAGGTAATACTTTCATTCACGAATGCGACCCCGTACCCACCACGGAGCCACAATTAGAGGATATAACACACAACAAGAGACATGTTGCCAGTCTTGCCGGGGCCCCCAGGGGTGCGTCGTGAGTATACGCCCCACAAACGCCACATTAACACTTTCGCGCTATCTGGACGCGCCGGCGCGTTCGGTTTCGTCTAACGTAAACGCATAGTGGACATAAAGTTATGTCAACTTTTAAAATATTTGTATAAAATTCAATTTTTATCCGATTTACTTTGGGTTTGTTTCAAACTGCGCGCTATGAGGCTCTCTTTCTCACCACTAGGCTGCATGGTACAATAAGTTCATGAAAGGTGTGGATAACTTCGATCAAATGGTATTTTGTCCCAAACAGGTTGCAGGTGGGTGACTTTAGCCGTTTATACTGGTAATTCTTCCCCCATATCATGTATTATATGCATATGTCTGTTTAGGGAATTTTATTCCGATCAATATACAACCAAAAATAACTGTGCAACAAGTATAATCTTGACAAACATAACAAAAGTAAAAATATTTCGTGTGTGTTTGACGCTCACTGATATGTTCCAGCGTTGTTTTATATTTGTCGCTATTTTAACTTACGCTTTGTTGATATTTTTTACCTATGGGCACATAGAACATTCTATTGCAAACACATTGACATAAAAATGAATGACGTACATAGAAAATTAATGTCATGAGAGTGAAATAAGTATAAACTTTCAAAGCGCCGTGCGTCGTCCCGTCACCGATACCGGGTAACAATTTCACCACTTCCCACACTCTTGCGGGTGGGCTGCATCATTATTCTACGCTTATATTCATATCACCGTGTTGGGAATTTCATTGCGAGTCCATTGATACCAAAATTAACGCTGTAGAGCAAGTGTGGAGGTGATTACAATCCCAAGAGTAAAAACATTTTGTTGCTGATGGGCGCTCACGGCGAGTCATCTACGTAGTTATTTATTTGGTGCTGGTATCCCTATATGTTTCGTGACTTATTTTACTAATGTTCTTCTAGAGAATTTTATTGCGAACACGTTGGTACCAAATGAAATACGTAGCATGAGAACTAAGGTCAGAAGAGTAAAAAGAGTATACACATTTTTGTTTTTACGCTTAAGCGATAAAAACGCAGCGCGCACATTCGGTTGGCTGAGTGACCTTTGCGGAGAGTGCGAAAGTGTTAAGAACCCTCAGTCCGTCAAGATCGGATTCAGCGACAGAAGGAGGATTGAAATTAAAAGGGTCCCCTCGCTCGAGATGTTGGGTACTACAGTTCTACGGGTGAGAGAGTATGCTTCCCCAAACACCCGGGCATCAAAACAGAAGTAGTCTGAAAGAATAATCAAGACTGGCAAAAGGTCAGCAGGAAATGACAATTAGAAAGGGGAAGAGGGGGGAAAGAAAAATGAAATACAAGGAAAAGGAAAGTTCTGACAAAATTGTTAAAGACAGCAGCAGGAGCATAAGGCTTCGAAAGGACAGAGGACTGACCCATGGAGCATTACACTCCGGCAGCTGCTTACCAAGCCCCCTCACGATGCCAACGGGCCAGAAAGGGAGGGGGTATCTGGAATGAACTTACCCAGTACCTTGCGGATTTTCTTCCAGATCTGAGGGGCCCCTGGAATGAAATTAAACAACTCAGAATTTCTTCTAAATATAGTTAACAATTGACAAGGTCTCTAGTGTTAAATGATAGCCCTTCCTAGAATGGCTGGTGCTTCTGAATAAAATGGGGCACATTAAATCCTCTCCAGACAATTGGAGCATTGGGACAATTGCTCTCAAGTGTCTGGTGCAGTGTAATGGTTAAATCAATATAACACAAATGTTTAAATCTTTATTCCAAGCAAATGTCTATCAATATTCACTAGTCATCCCCCCCCCTCCCATCCCTCCCCAAATTACTCCAGGTAAAGGTCTCAGTATCGTAATCAATAAAATAAATTAATTTCAAAAAGATACCAAATATGAACTTGTCCAAGTCAAAGAACATTTATTTTCATATGGCACAATAGTGTGGATTTTGCAAATAGTGACCTGGATTTTTGTATTTGTTTTCTATAAAAACATGTGTGTTCTTTAGTCTAAGGAGAAAACGTGTTAAATAGTGTAATGATACAAATGAATTGTAGGAAATATTAATTATTATGATATACGAGTATCATATTTCATTGTGTACAATTATCCTTTGATGACTGCTATTGGTCGGAGTTTGATGCATTTCTTGCTGATTCCCGCTGCATGACAAGTATCAACGACATCAGTAACATTTTTATAAGACTCTGGAGCTTCTTCCATGACAAGTTTTGGAGATGCCACTCTAATGCTTATGCCTTGTTCTTGAAGCTTCATTAGGACATCAGTGTAATCTAAGTTTCTGCGTGACTTTGCACGAGACAGAGCACGGCCCTGTAAAAAAGGAAAAGCACTCAGCACAGTACAGTGCGCTAAAGCAACTAAAGTACACTCTCTAAATCCAGTCTATCACCACATTTGTTCAGGGGCCATATAATGCGATTTTAACGTTGTTTAATGTCAAACTTTTTTTTTACTAGTTGTATATAAAAAGGGCTGCAACTGTTCTACGTTTCAGTATCGCACCCTAAATAGAAAGGGAGGGATTTTTTTTTGTTTCAACGAATTTTACAAATTTTCAGTAACACACTACAACCACAAGTTTCAAATGAAATCATTTCTATGACACTCATCTATAACATTAGCATATAATAAAGGATTTGTATAAAAAGGATTATCCAAAATAAATGTAGTTTTACTAATAAAAGTACAATTGCAAAGTACAGTCAAAGTTCCCGAAAAATATATGCTAATATTTCATGTTTGCAAATATTTATAAAATCATTAAATGAACTTAGGAATAAAGTGTTTTATACAGGTTGTAGAGATGTAAACTCTACATACAAGGTGCAAATTTCAAGTAAATTGAAAAAGAAATGAAAGAGGAGAGTTAATTTTATGTTACTTGACAATAAATAACATCAAAGATTCTGCCACCTGTGGTTAAGTTGACTTTAACCAATTTCCTCCAAAATTTGCACCTTTACAAGATAGGCTTACATTCTGTAAGGTGTATAAATTTCATGCAAATCGGCTCTAAAAAAAAATCTAATTTTTTTTTTTTTTTTTTTTTTTTTTGCATAAAACTATATATATATTAAAATACTTTTATTATATGCTATTGTGATAGCCTAGAGTCATAGACATGATTTCAGTTGACACTTGTATTTGATGTTAATTTTTGACCATTTTGAAAAAATTTTGACAATTCAATATTTTTTTTCCTCCCTTCCTATTTATACTAACGATGCTGAGACTTGGACCAGTTGAATCCAATTTTATACAACTAGTCAAAAAAGTTTGATTGAAATCGAATCAGTTTTCATTTATTACATATTATCATAATATGCCCCCCCTTAAACATGCACAAACCACCTTGCAAGTTATGAACAATTATCGACATCTTTCCATAACATTTTCATTCCTCATAACTAAGTTGGTCCATTTCTACAGGTCTAATTCTTATTTTTTTTTTTATGTTCATTTATCACACCATTGTCATCCATCAATATATCGGGTAGACATTACCACTCCCCTCCATGCAGCCCTCTTCTTTTCCTATATGTTTTTGTATAATAAGGGTTAAATAATAATGTGTTATTATTTAACACTTTTATATACAAAAATTCTCTTTTTCCTCTATTATAACATTATTTTTCCATATTCACTTTTCAATCAAACACATTGAACAAATTTTAAACTTTAAATAAATCTCTTTCACACTGTTGAAAAGAACTACACATCAATATTTTACCTCATATAAACTGCTCACTGATCACACCATAAATTCTTACATGCTGCTTCTTACATAAAGACTAGATTGCATTGAACAGAAGTCCATACATGGTCATCACTATCCACAGGTATAAACTTTCCTAGACATTTTAACACTATCGCACATCTTCACGCGCCATGTCGTGAGCACGAGAGCGCAGACTTTGACGTCATGGGGCTAATGGTGCGGGCGAGCGTGCGGCGATGCCTAAATGTGTATACTCGTTTCAGTTTTCTCACCTTAATTCTCGTGCTACGTCGTTCGTTTTGGTATCATTGTGTTCGCAATTAAATTCCCTGCAGATGTATATGCATATAATGTCCAAAAGCCTGGCGAGACTCCCCGCAGCAAAGCCTAAATTTACCCGTGAACGAGCACCAATTTGCACACCAAAACCTAATGTGTATACTCGTTCAGTTTGACAACATCAATTTTCATGTTACATTGCTCATTTTGGCATCAAATTGTTCGCAATATAAAGGCGCTCATTTTAAAACTAGTCCCATAATAATAGCACAATAAATAAAATTTTAACAAATATTTTAAAATTTAAAATTTAGACCCAAAAACGTATTTATAATCTTTCAAGTGTTCTGACAACAAGTTTCGTGTTACATCTTTCATTTTGGTATCAAATTGTGCGCAGTCTAAAGGCACTTATTTTGAAACTATCCCGAGGTCAATCGGATAAAAAAAGAATTTTATACAAATATTTTTGTAGTGGATGCGAGTCCTGTCGACGGCTAGGACTCAAGAGAAAAAAAATGGACATGATCGGTGTCCAAAGATGATCTGAGCAATGGTTTGTTTGCTTAGTTCCTTGGTAGGTGACATAATAACAATACCACCAACACCACTGTTAACTCCGATAACACATGACAAGATGCCAGAGCGAGACACGCAACACTATGAATGCTTGAGGGACAATTAAGCCTCCCAGTTGTGTGGGTCCAGGGAGCTAAGGCACACTGATGTCATTTACCCAGCACATACTTCTGTCTACAATCTTTTTGCCTTTCATTCTTTTTAGTTTTTATTGCCATAAAAATGTGCCACCTCGAGCAGGGTGGCGCATACTTTTGACTAGTACTGTATATATATATTTTGTACATCAAACGTGAAAAATTTGGTACTTACAGCACCATGACATGTAGACCCAAAAGTTTCCATCATGCCCTGCTCAGTTCCTGTTAATACATAAGAACAAGTGCCCATTGTTCCACCAATCAGCACAGGTTGTCCTGTCAACTGATAATCAACAGGAATAAGGGGATGGTGTGGTGGGAAGGCCCGAGTTGAACCCTGTTCACATAAAACAAGTATTGTAGTTTGTTTCAATATAAAATAATGCCTTCCTATTACATGACTTATTAATAACTTGTCTAATGTACTAATAGGTCAAATAGTGACCTGTAGCCCAACAAAACCTAAAACAAAAAACCAGCATTGAATGTAATGAAATGCCATTTGCAGGGCGAGTCCCGGAGGCTCCTTGGAGCTATCCATGGCTGATACGGATACCCTAACTATTTTGCATCAGTCAATGTGGATGGAGTTCTAGGCCTACACGGGACCATGAGCCAGACAGAACCTGGCTTCCTTACAGAGGCACAAAGAGCAATGGCCCAAAGAAATGCACATGTGATTTGGAGTATTCTATATCTACCATCGACTGGGACAGGCACCCAGAAAGGTAAGCGCTATAAACGAAACGCCTATTCTGGTTAAAACGAAAATAGTCAAGCAAGTGGACAGAACTCTCCAAAAGAAAAACGAGCAAACAAGCATGACGTCACACGATCCGCGCCGCATGTCTGCGCAGTTCTCCCCTTCCCTGGGAGGGGAGAAGGGGGAGCCCCAGACCCACGTGCTAGCGATCCACACCCCAGTTCCGAGGCTGAATATAAAAAAACGCGAAAAACCACCGACAGGAGGGAGGGGAGGGTTGCCGGGGAGCCTCCGGGACTCACTCAGAAGATAGAGTTTCATTACATTCAACGCTGGTTTTCTAGGAGGAGCCCCTATGGCTCCCTGGAGCTACTTCACCAAAGACGAAAACAGAGGGACGCATCCGGGAGGCGGTTGGTGCTCACACCACAACACAAAGTCGAGACAACAAGCTGCAACAGATGACCCAAGGCGACAGGCCCAACTAGGCCCAGGAACAGACACGAGGGAGCGCGCAGCCAGGACCCAGCGCGACCACCAAAACAACCTTGTGCCCGAACGTCAGCCCATGACATGCCGCCCAAGAAATGCCACCAAAGATGGCAGCAAGCGCAGCAAACTTACGAATGTCAAGGGCACGGGGAGAGACCATAGGCTGGCTAGACAGAAGGACCCAGCGGACAACCAGAGACCCGAACCCAAGAACAGGGAAGGGAAACTGGATCAACCCAAAGCGCAGCCTGGCCAGAGGCTGTGGTGTGCAAAGAACGGCGGAAAGCCGCAACCGGACACAAGAAGCACCCCAGCCAACCAACTAAGCAGCAACAACCTCAGGGACCCCTCTGGAACCTTAGGGGCCACAACAAACCAAAAGGAATAGAGAAAAGAGCATCTTGCCCCAGAGCAGGAGGGCTCAGGTGGTGCATGAGCAGGCCAGAGGTGATCAATGCCCAAGACAACCTGTGAATGGTGCAGAAGGAACAACAAAACCGGAGCAATCCGAAGCAGCTTCGCCAGCGCCGCACGAGACAGGGCGACGGTATGCGGCCAGAAAACGGCCCCTAAACCACCACGAGAGAAGGACAAGACCATGACAACAAAGAGCGCAGTACACCTACAAAGAGACAAAGAAAACAAGGACCGCCAGAAAACCCCATACCACCGCCGAGACAAAGCAAGCAGGTAGGACACATTCAAAACGCCACTTAATCACCAAACAGATGGTGAGAGACTCGAGTCAAAAGTACCAGACCAGAAGACTCGAGGAGAAGACCGGTCCTGCCACGGACCGGACCGACCATGTAAAAAGAGGCAGAGCCACGGGAAAACTCCTGGGTGCGGACACCGAGCAAGCTGCGCCGGAACCAAGGCAGTCAAAGAACCAAAAGGAACGCCCGACAGGGAACCAGTAACCCAAACCTGGCGAGCTGGAAAAGAACCAACCCGGCAAAACAGACACGCCCCGTCCAGGAGGCCCCCCCTCCCAGGACGCCTGAAGGAACAATGAGCCCAATAACAGACAAGAAGCTGCTGCTTGCAGAAACTGCCAACCACAAATAGCAAGGGCAAAAAGGGCAGCGAAAAACCTAAGAGTCAAGGCCCAGGCATAGGCCCACAAGGAACCGAGCACCACGATCCGAAACCATAGATGCGAAGCGAAAAACAGACACCACAACCCACAGGAGCGGCACTACCACCTCCAGCAGGGAAGAACGAAGCATGCTACTGCACTAAAACAAAAACGTACTGTCCGGAAAGGAACACAAAGAAAAGCCGCAGCCAGGACCAGAAGCCAAGCCCCCCCACCCCCCCGTGCCCCAATGAAAAGGAACTGTACCCCAATGAAAAGGAACTGTACCCCAATGAAAAGGAACTGTAGGGGCAGGAGCGGGTGATCGGAAAGCGATATACACCAGCAGACATCGCAACACAGACGCTGGAAGTGTCAGACAAGGAGAAGAGGAAGAACTCAAGAGCTATACCGGACCACTGGGCCTGTTCTACAACAGGAAACTGAACAAGAACAGAGCCCAACCGAGCATGAGCATGAGAATAGCCAAGACGTACAAATGCAATGAAAATACCCGAAAGACAGTCCAAGCACCGAAAGCCAGGGACAAGAGTAAAAGCAACCGGCAACAGAGGGTACATGAACCATATACACAGACCAGGAGCAAGCGAAAAACAAGACGCTCGCCCAAACTCAAGTGCTACTTAGAGAAGCAAACCCCACACGAACACCAGACCCCAAGAACAGGAAACATGGCTTCCAGCCCATAGGAGGAAGGGGAGGGGTACAGAAGGTGTATATACATGCCGTACAAATATAAAACATAGGTATGTGTATATGTAACGTACATGTGGTCGAATCCTATGTCAAAAACCGACCAGAATGTCAACTGATGCAACCCATGCTCTGCACGCCCACAACGGTCGCCCAAGGCAAAATCGGGGAATGCCCCAAGAATACTGTAGAAAACACCTTGAGAACTCATGAAACAAAAAAGCCAAAGTCTGGAATTGTTAGGTTAGGCTAGGCTAGGGCAGTATTGTACTACTGCGCCATGAGGACATCAATTCAAAAGGGAAATGTTGAACGTGAGCACTGAACAATGGGCAATGAAGAAGTGTCCCGTGTCCCTGCTGACAAAGGCACCAGACAGTATAATCTAACCTGTAGAGCAGAGGCACTATCGGATCACGACATAGCGTAGCCGTGTAATGGTCTGGGAGCATTGCTAGCAGAGCATGTCCAGAGATGCTAGTGTAGGAGAGCAGGTGCAGTGGAGAGGTTGAGAGGTGGAGGTGCCACCACACCTAGCCACCCCCCCCCCCCCCACCCATAAGCAGAGAAATAACTGTAAGTGTTCCCAACATATAACCCAAAATGACCCCAATAACCAGGGAGCGATGACTGGAGAGATAAGATGAGCGAGAGCAGTGTATAACCCAGGAGAAAGTGTGCTGAACACCGACACATGTCTACACCGACCAAAACAAAAAAATCACCCATGACGCAAGCGCAGGACACATGAGGTCTGGGCTGCACCACCCGACCCCCGGGGAGGGTGCCAACAATGAAAATGGAACCATAATTAGTAATGTCGAGACAAAGGACGGAAAGAGGCAACTATTAAAATCGGAAACAGCATCAAAAGATTAGAAAAAGGACAAGAGTACCAACTAGTCCTAGAATGGACTGGAGGTAAGCTCCACCGGAAGGCAACAGAAGTTCCAATAATGCAAAAGCATTGAAGACCCACTCGAACCTTCGAGAACCAAGACCAACAAGCACAAAATCATGGAGGCACAGACGCACCCAATAGCATCTGTGACCAATGGACATGCAGGACCAGAGACAACAGAAAATGATTGCAGCATGATGCAGAACACAGGTCCCAGAGAAGGTGGGAAAGTGAAAAAAACGCCCAACAGAAGGACAGAGACGACGGACTGGAAGGTACATGGAACCGAATCATGGGAGGGGCTGACGTCCAAAGGAAACTCGTACTCAGAGGGGGATGGGAAAACCCCATTCCTTGTAACAGTAAGCCCTGCTCAGAAAGTCGGAAAACCCAGGCGGGTTCCAACGGGGCCCAAAGCCCCAAGTCCGCACTTCCCAACCCTGGGAACCACCATGTCAGGTTCCGGGGGCAATTCGTCCTTCAAAGCCCCGGACTCACAAGAAAACGTCGGAGCGACCGAAATAGTAGGAAGAGAGTGGGACCACTGGTCAGACCCCGGAGCTACGGCTGGAGGAACAGACTCGAACGCCTCTGACAACCCTGGAAGGGGCAACCCCCGAAACTACCCGAGTCTTAAACCTCGATACCCTGCCCCGACCCCGAAGCCCTCAGATGCCTAGAAGTCGGAAGCAGGGGGGACCGAATAAACCACAGCAGGGGAAGAACGAGGGGGCGCGGACGGAACCAAGGCCGACACGACCAACACCCCCCAAGTCCGGGTTCTGAGAAGCAAAACAGGGCAGCCTCGGGGAATATGGGGAAGCAACCAAACTAGCGCGTTGCAACAACCTACCCGGCAGCGCTAGAGCCGCCTGCACCCGAAGAATCTCATCAACATATTGGGTGATTGGAGCCACAAACAAGCAACAAAGCTTGCAGAACTCAGGGTTGAATGTGTTACCAACCCAATAGGCAGCATGATGGAGGCAAAAACAATGAGTGTCACCCTGAGACAAGGGGACAGAATAACCCTCAAACTTGCACAAAGTGAGAGGGGATGCAGGGGTCTCCTCCATCAGACCCGAGTGCCCCCGTAGGGTTTTCCAGGGCCCCTAGACTGGGTATGCTAAGGGTTATTCCAGGCAGGGTACTACTAACCGGCGCCCCAAACTAACAAGCAAACTGCTAAAAGCTGAACTCGCGGGACATGTCCGCTCACGAGGGCGAAGCAGAGGGTGCCACCACACAAACGAGCCTAACATAAGGGGGAAGGGAGAACACAAGGCAGACCCCTCCACCATGCAAAATGAAAGGAAAAACCTCGCAAGAGGACAATGTACCTGAAGAGAACAGAGCCGGCACCTGTTAAAGGTGAAAACTAGCTACTCAATACCCTGTGCCCTATCAGTGCAATAACTGCCACTTACCCCAAGGCAAACAAGGGTGGAAACCCCCACACACTTGGGGCGGCCCAATGCCAAGCAGCGAAAGGTCAACAGAGGTAGACCCAAGGTGACTTGTGGAAGGAAACCCCCAAGCCCCAAGGGTGGTATATACAGGGCACTCAGGGAAGGTGACCCTAAGCACATGCAGCCAGAGTACCTGAGAATACTACCACCAGCTCGCACGACCACCGTAAGAGCAACACTGAAAACAATTAACAGCACTGAGAGAAGACTGAAGCTGGAGCCACACGACTAAGCACAATCCCATCAGCCAAGGAACTGGGGTGTGGATCACCGGCACGAGGGTCTGGCGCTCCCCCTTCCCCTTCCGGGGAGGGGGTAAGCTGCGCAGACATGCGGTGTGGCTCGTGTGATGTCAAGCGTGTTTGCTCGTTTTTCTTTTGGAGAGTTCTGTCCACTCATTTGACGATTTTCGTTGTTAACCAGAACAGAGGTTTGTTTTGTGGCAGTTACCTTCTGGGTGCCTGTCCCAGTCAATGGCAGATATAGAATTCTCCAAATCACATGTGCATTTCCATTCCATTGGGCCATTGCTCCTCGCGCCTTTGTGAGGCTGGCCAGGTTCTGGCTTGTGGTCCCCGGTAGGCCTAGAACTCCACCCACATCGACTTATGCAAAATAGTTAGGGTATCCATATCAGCCATGGATAGCTCCGGAAAGCCATAGGGGGGTCACCACAGAAAAGTACTGTATATAACATTTATGGCATTATAACCCCCCCCCACCCTTGAGGTATCCAATTAGTACAATTACAACTCCACCCCACTTTAAAAAATGACAAATGCTATAAAACAAATTAGGAATGAAATAATATTTTCATTATTTTCCCCATCTATTTTGCCAAACAATTGTTACTGAAAATAAAAATTTAATTATTATAACTTGTGAGATATAATTTAGATGCAGCAATTGTTTGTCCAATTTTAATTAAGTTAAAGTTCATGACAAGTAAAACTTCACAAAATAAAGTACAATATGAAATTTCACAATATGAGCGTCACATCTTTAAATAATCTGAAGTTACACAAGTAAAAATTTACCACTATGCAGTACATACATCATTAATCCCATTCCCACTTTTATTGTGTGGGTGAACCTCAACCCAAAGACGTATAAAAAAAATTTAAGCAGTGAATGTAATGAAATGTCTTTTCTGGGGTAGCCCTGGTAGCTATTTCGTAGAGATTGCTCCACACGACAAGGCCCATGAGCCGCGGAATTCCGTTTGGCCTACCAAGGACCAGAGCCAGAACCTGGTCCCCCTATCACATGAGGTGCAGAGACCACATACTCTCTATTTACAGCATTTACTGACAAAGAAATCACATTAATGTGATATATCAATAAGAAAATCATTTGGAGCCATGAGGCGACTCAAACCAGCACTCGGGGTGCTTCCAGCCACCCACCTTACTCCTGTACTATGACATGGGTGCAAGTTATAAAACCTGATTTTCTCAGTGATACATCACATTAAGTGTGATTTCTTTGTGTATCAGAAGCTGGAACACAGTTGATGACCTATTTTACATATACATACATATCATGTAAGCCCCTTCAGTTCTAGATATATATATGCAAAGAAGCTTGAATGGCATCCAAGTCAATATGCAACTGAAAGCTCCACACCCCAGAAGGATTCGAACCCAGACAGCCAGGAGCAATATGCACCATGGCGTACTCGGTTCTTTAACAGAGTACGTGTAAGTGTCCTGGGCTGCCTATAGATGGTATTCAGCATTAACGAGTTATAGTTCTCTCTGCACCTCTGAAGGGGTCCAGGTTCTGACTTGGGTCCCAGGTAGGCCAAACAAAACTCACATGACCTATGTTACTTTTAGTATGGCAATCTCGGTGCAATACCTACAGAAAGCCACCAGGGCTCCACCAGAAAGACATGTTTCATTACGTTCAATGCTAGGTTTTTCAAAAGAAATATTTAAAAAATAGGGTCTCATTCATTTAAAATAATTACCAGTAACTTATTTGCTTGACACACTAACATTTCTCCTTGGCAAAACTGCATTATGGCAAGGGTAACATATTAATTTGAAATGATATATTAGGATGTATTACAATAAATATATAATTCTAGAATTTGTAAGATATATTTGAATGTCTTAGAATTTGTACCAGATACCTAAATAATGTACATATACAAAGTATTGTGAAACTGATATGATTGCTTGGCCAGCTGAAGGAACAATAATCCAATACTCTGTTTGCTAAAGTTTAACCGAATGATTTTTACCTTTCTATGAACCAACAATGTGCGAAGTTTTCCATCTACCCAGTGCTGTTCAATCTTGGCAATATTGTGAGAGACATCGTAGATTACATGCATGTCTAGATCGTCAGGACTCATCTGGAACTGCTTTGCAAAAGCCTAAAACATATATAAAAAGTTATTTAAAATTATGTAAAATGAGACTAATATGGTATTATATAGAGAGACAGACAGACAGATACCAGGAACTTCATCAGCACATACAAGATTCTCAAATTGATAGGGTAGACAAAGACAGTTTATTTAACACAAGGGGCACACGCACTACAAGACACAGGAGGAAATTGAGTGCCCAAATGAGCCATAAAGACATTAAAAAGAATTTTTTTTATTGTCAGTAGTTAATTAATTAACACTTTCGCTCACTGGGCACGCGACCTCCCCATTACCCCAGGTGGGTTTGGGCGTTTCACGGGAGCATGCAGAAATTCTGTAAAGTGTATACTCTTTTCAACTTTGTCACCTTAATTTTCGTCCTACGATATTCAAGTTGGTATCAATATGTTCGCAATGGAATTCTCTAGCGGATGAAATGCATATAAGCTCCATAAGCCCGGCTTACCACTCGCAGCAAACAGAGAGAGTGCTAGCGAGTGACCCGGGAGCGCTCAAGAGGGATAAAATGTTTACAGTCTTTTATCTTTTGTCACCTCAATTATCGTCCTAGGTCTTTCATTTTGGTATCAATGGGTTCGCAAAAGAATTCCCAAGAGGACTATATGCATATAATGGCAAAAACAGCAGCGATCTCCACCCGCCGAAGTGATGAAAACAGGCCGTGGTTACAAGAAAGAGCGCTGCGCCACCCCAAGGCACCTCTCATTATGAAAAGTGTATATTCTTTTCAACTTTGTCATCTCAATTCTCGTCCTAAGTTTTTCAATTTGGTATCAATGTGTTCGCAATACAATTCTCTACAGGACGAAATGAATATAAATCCCAAAAGCCCGGCAAGAAAGTCTTACCCGGGAGCGGACAAGAGCTCTCTCTTCACTTTAGGCATCTCAATTCTCATCCTAGGTCTTTCATTTTGGGATCATTGTGTTCGCAATAAAATTTTCTACAGGCATATATGCAAATATTAAGTCCAAAAGCCCGGCATACCACCCACAGCAAACAGAGAAAGTGACGGAGCGTTACCCCCATGAGCGCTAATAGAGAGCAATAAAATGGGTATTCTGTTTTCAACTTTGTTACCTCAATTCTGGTCCTAGGACTTTGATTTTGGTATCAATGTATTCGCAATGAAATTCCCTACAAGAGTACATGCATATAATGTCCAAAACCGCGGCAAGACCTTCCCGAAAATGCCGCTACTGTTGCCGCACGGAGGACTCGATGCCGAGTCCTCGCCGGACTTGCCCCTGTTTTACGGACGACTCAACATTGAGTCGTCGCCGAGCGAAAGTGTTATCAATAAATGGAATGCATCAGGAACTGATGTCATGGAAGTAGACTCCATACACAGTTTGAAGTAATTACCTAAGTGTAATTACGGATGAGAGCTACGCTCGTGGTGTCCTGTCTTCCCAGCACTTTTTGTCATATAATGCTTTGAAATTTCTGACGGTTTTGGCCTCCACCACATTCTCTCCTAACTTGTTCCAACCGTCTACCACTCTATTTGTGAGGGTGAATTTTCTTATATTTCTTAGGCAGTTTTGTTTCGTTTGTTTAAATCTATGACCTCTTGTTCTTGAAGTTCAGGATCTCGGGAATTCTTCCCTATCAATTTTATCGATTCCTGTTACTATTTTGTATGTAGTGATCATACCACCTCTTTTTCTCCTATCTTCTAGTTTTTGCATATTTAATGCCTCTAACCTCTTCTCATAGCTCTTGTCCTTCAGTTCTGGGAGCCACTTAGTAGCATGTCTTTGCACCTTTTCTAGTTTGATTTAGTGCTTCTTAAGATATGGGCACCACACAACCACTGCATATTCTAGCTTTGGTCTAACAAAAGTTGTGTATTTTTTTAGTATTTTACCATCCATGTATTTAAAAGCAATTTTGAAGTTAGAAAGTATAGCATAGGCTCCTCGCACAATGTTCTTAATGTGGTCCTCAGGTGATAGCTTTCTATTTAGAACCACCCCTAGATCTCTTTCTTTATCAAAATGTTTAAAAGATTTCTCACATAATTTATAGGTTGTGTGGGGGTCTATGTTCTCCTATTCCACATTCCATAACATCGCATTTGTTCACATTAAATTCCATTTGCCAAGTGGTGCTCCATATACTTATTTTGTCCAGGTTTTCTTGAAGGGCATGACAATCATCTAAGTTTCTTATCTTCCCTATTATCTTACCATCATCAGCAAACATGTTCATATAATTCTGTATTCCAACTGGTAGATCGTTTAAGTAGACAATGAACATATCGGTGCAGGAACTGAACCCTGTGGTACTCCACTTTTAACATTTTTCCAGTCCAATGCATTGCCTTTGATTACTGCCCTCATTTTTCTCAGAAAAAATTTCATCCTTGTTAGCTTACCTGTAACCCCTCCAATATGTTCCAATTTCCAGAACAACTCTCTTATGTGGAACTCTGTTGAAAGCCTTTTTCAGGTCCAGATAGATGCAGTCAACCCAAACATCTCTTTCCTGTAAAATCTCTGTGGCTCGATCATAGAAACTGAGTAAATTCATAAGGCATGATCTTCCAAATCGAAAACCATATCGATTGTCTGATATTATATCTTTCTCCAAGTGTTCTACCCATTAATTTTAATTATTTTGTCCAATATTTTGACTATTACACGCATTAATGATACAAGTCTATAATTGAGGGGGTCTTCCCTGCTTCCCCTTTTGTAGATTGGTACTATTTCTTGTGGATTATGTGTGTGGATTGGGCCTTTTTCCACACATCTGCTATGACTCATGTACACAGGGATGCCTTGACCCTTTAACTGTGCGGCCTATCAATATGACACCCCCCCAGTGCGCAAGAAATAAATTCTCGGGAAAAAATTCTGGAGCCCTGTTGCTTATATAAGCAACAGGGCTCCATTAAGGAACATATAATCTCTTCCCACAACCAAACCATCACCAGAGAAATCTTAGCAAACACAGAAATCATCGATAGATACAGCGATAGCAGGCGGCTTGACATCTGCGAGGCACTACACATCAAGAAGTCAACACCAGCAATCAACAGCCAATTAATGCACAACTATATTCTACCCACTTCAAGACTCCGCTCCAATACAGAAGCATCAAGAAATATGGGCCAATGACAATAGTTGTCTCTTCAGAGGTTGCATGGCGTTTCACTTTCCTTCTTATGATGTCTTCAACGAAACCATTGGAGAAGCCGTTGTTGACTAGGACCTGCCTTACCCTACAGAGTTCTTCGTCGACTTGCTCCCATTCTGAGCTGTGGCTGAGAGCACAGTCGACATAAGCGTTAACAACACTCCTCTTGTACCTGTCTGGGCAGTCACTGTTGGCATTTAGGCACATTCCTATGTTCGTTTCCTTAGTGTCGTTTCCTTCCTTCGTTTCCTCACATCTCAACTCAAAATTGAGACAACTCGCTGCAGCCTGCAACCCAACCTTAAGGTGTTTTCGGGGCTTAGCATCCCCGCAGCCAGGTCGTCGACCAGGCTTCCTCGTTTCTGGACTGGTCAACCAAGTTGTTGGACGCGGCTGCTCGCAGCCTAACGTATGAATCACAGCCTAGTTCATTAGGTATCCTTTGGAGGTATTTATCAAGTTCTCTCTTGAACATTGATGAGTCAATTAGCCAATTATGCCCTTTATGTGTAGTGGAAGTGTGTTGAGCAGTCTTGGGCCTCTGATGTTGATAGAGTTCTCTCTCTCTCTCTCTCAAGTACATATTGCACTTCTTTTCAATGGGGTATTCAATGGGGCGTGTCCCCCTTTGGGGGACACGCCCTACTAGGGTCAGGAATGTTGACTAAGAAACGTGCAGCCAGGACCCTGTTCGACCTCCAAGATCCCCGTGCCCAAATGTCAGCCCAAGACATGTTACCAAAGACGGCAGCCAAAGCAGCAACCTTACAAACAGCATTGCCACGAGGATAGACCGCAGGCTGGCTGGGCCGAATAACCCTGCAGACAATCTGGGAGACCCGAGCCCTGTAACAGGGAACAAGGACAACCGGGTTAACCCAAAGCGCATCACTGGCCACAGTGGCCGTGGCGGGCAGGTAACAGTGAAGAGCCGCAACCAGACAATACATTAAGCACCACCTGCCTGACCTACCAAGCATAAATGACCCAAGGACACCTCCGGAAAGCTGCCGACTCATTCTTTACCAGAAAAGGGTGCCCATGCCGGAGAGGAGGGAAGCGGCGAAGGAGGCTCCCCCCACCCTAAAATTCAGGGAGAAACCTCGTGACTTCCCCACAGCAGCACTCCAGAACACCCCAAGAGCAACGGGGCACGGACTGGAGAAAGAAAAGAGCGAGAGGCAAAGCCCCCCCCCCCCAGATAAAATGGACGCAGAACACCAACACGTGTGCACACCACCCCGGATCCAAAACAAACTCCCACGGCGCATGCACAGGACACGAAAGAAAAGTAGCCCAACAAGGCATCAAGGAGCCCAACAAGGCGTCAAGGAGCCCAACAAGGCGACAAGGAGCCCAACAAGGCGTCAAGGAGCCCAACAAGGCGACAAGGAGCCCAACAAGGCGACAAGGAGCCCAACAAGGCGACAAGGAGCCCAACAAGGCGACAAGGAGCCCAACAAGGCGACAAGGAGCCCAACAAGGCGACAAGGAGCCCAACAAGGCGACAAGGAGCCCAACAAGGCGACAAGGAGCCCAACAAGGCGACAAGGAGCCCAACAAGGCGACAAGGAGCCCAACAAGGCGACAAGGAGCCCAATTCGGCCACAAGTAGCCCAATCCAGCGTCCTGGACTAGAACGGACGGAACCAGTATGGAGGCAAACTCCGGGTCACGCAGGAGGTAAGCCGCAAAGGCCAACCGCACCACAGGCGAAGAGATGCGGGTAGCCGAAAACCTCCGGAAGACGGAACCGAAGAAACCACAGGGACACGGAACCGAACCCGGGGAGAAGCAGAACCCAAGTCCAAATCGAACGCAGAGCGGGGGGGAAAGAAAACCCTACTCCTTGCAACAGTAAGCCCCGCTCAGAAGGACGGAAATCCAGGCGAGGCCCAATGGAGCCCAAGGCCCCCAAGGCCGCTCCTCCCCAACCCCAGGAGCCTCTACACCAGGCCCCGGGGCAGCCGAGAGAGCTGGAAGGGAAGGGGCCCCACTGGTCAGACCCCGGAGCATCGGCCGGAGGAACAGACTCGAATGCCTCCGCAGCTACCCCGGATGGGGCAACCCCCGAAACTGCCCAAGTCTCAAACCTCTAACCCCGCCCTGACCCCGCAGACGCTTTGAGGCCGGAAGCAGGAGGGTGGGGGGAAGGGGGGGGGGGAACAAAATGAACAACCGAAGGGGAAAAACAAGGGGGCGTGGACAGAACTAAAGCCGAAGCGACCAAAACCCCCCCATGTCCGGGTCCCTACACAAAGTGGGGCAGCCTCGGGGCGTCTGGGGAAGCGACAACCCGAGTGCGTTGCAACAACCTATCCTGCAACGTGCGAGCTGCCTGCACCCAAGAGAATTCATCAGCAGACAGGGTGAAGTGAGTCACGAACAAGCAACAAAGCTTGCAGGACTCGGGGTCGAATGTGTCACCGACCCAACAGGCAGCATGACTGAGGCAAAAACAAGGAGAGTCACCCTGAGACAAAGGGACAGAGCAACCCTCAACTCGCACAAAGCGAGAGGGGACGCAAGGCTCTCCACTACCGGACCAGAGAGCCCCCGTGGGGTTTCCCAGGACCTCTAGACTGGGTCTGCTAAGGGTTATCCCAGGCAAGGCACTGCTAACCGGCGCCCCAAACTACCAAGCAAACTGCTAAAGCTGAACCCACAGGACGTGTCCACCCATGAGGGCGAAGCAGGGGGTGCCACCACAAAAACGACCCTAATATAAGGGGGGGAGGAGGGGACACAAGGCAGACCCCCTTACCAGGCAAAAACAAATATAAAAGAAAAACCACACAAGTGGACAACGTACCCAGAGGGAACAGAGCCGGCCGCTGTTATAGGTGAAAACTAGTTACGCAGTACCCTGCACCCCACCAGTGCTATAGCTGCCACTTACCCCAAGGTAAAGAAGGGAGGAAAACCCCCAAACATTCGGGGCGGCCAAACGCCAAGCAGCGAAAAGCCAACAGAGGTAGACCCAAGGTCTACCTTGGAAGGCAACCCCAAGCCCCAAGGGCAGTACTTACAGGGCACTCAGGGAAGGTGACCCTAAGCACATGCAGCCCGAATACCTGAGAATACTACTCCCAGATCACACGACCACCGTAAGAGCAGCACTGAAAACAAGTCACAGCACTGAGACAAGACCGGAGCTGGAGCCACACGACCATGCACTATCCAATCAGCCGAGGAACTAAGGCGGGGATCGCCGGCGTGGGGGTCTGGAGCTCCCTCTTCCCCCTCCCGGGGAGGGGGGGGGAGCTACGCAGACATGCGGCGCGTCTCGTGTGACGTCATGCTTGTTAGTTTGTTTTTCTTGGGGAGTTCTGTCCACTCGTTTGTCAATTTTCGTTGTTAACCAGAATAGGGGTTTGTTTTGTGGCGCTTACCTTTCTGGGTGCCTGTCCCGGTCAATGGCAGATATAGAATGCTCCAAATCGCACGTGCAATTCTACGGGCCATTGCTCCCCGTGCCTCTGTGAGGGGGGGCCAGGTTCTGGCTCGTGGTCCCCGGTAGGCCTAGAACTCCACCCACATCGACTGATGCAAAATAGTTAGGGTATCCATATCAGCCATGGATAGCTCTGGGGAGCCGTAGGGGCTCCCCCCAGAAAAGAGCACAAAATCATCAGAAGGAACAGAACCAGCCGCTGTGTGTAATGGGAGACAAGCTGCACAATACCTTACCAGCAACGATACCACTTCCTACCCAAGGCCAAACAGTGGCTACCAAAAAACCGAGCTGGCCCCCAAGGGCAGGCAATTACTGAGCAGCAACAGACCCCTACGGAAGCTGTTTCCGAACGCCCTATGGAAGGTAACCCCTAGATGCAAGGGCAGTACTAACAGGGCGTCTAGGGAAGGTGGCCCTAAGCGCATGCAGTCCCAGTACTGATGAATTACTTCTGACCTGCTCATCACACACCACAAATAAACCACAAGGCACAGAACTTCAAGGAGTCAAGAGGCTAGAGTCGACAACCACCATCGCATCAGCCGAGGAACCGATTGTCCTCCCCCTCCCGTTAATCACGGCGTTAGTGACATTTGCTTGTTTGCTTGTTTTTGTTTGACAGTTCAGCCTCCCTTTTCAGTTTTAGGTAACAATTTTTACCATGTGGGGTTTGTTTTGTTATGCTTACCTTTCTGGGTGCCAAACCCTTGTCGATGGCAGACATGGAATGCTTCCAAATACATAAGGGGTTTCCATAGGCCATTGCTCCTCGTGCAATGGAGCCTCCTGAGGGGACCCATGTGCCTCTGGCTCATGGTCCCCAGTAGGCAAGAACTTCATTGACTGATGCCACAGTCTAATACATACATATCAGACTGGTAAGCCCCGGGGAGCCATAGGGGCTCCCCACAGAAAATGCCCTAAATTGTAAATGAAAGTGTACAAGACTTTGTATATCATGGAAAGTATGACACTTCCAACAACACAAATATTCATTATACTTTATTATTAATTTTAGTAATTTAAAAGATTCTAATCTCTTACCTGTCGACTTAAAAATGTCATTGAGGAGCGATTGACCCATGCAAAGTTTGCTGCTGCAGCCATGGACTTCAGGTAATCCTGTCCTTCTTGAGATTTGATTCTAGCACAAGCTAGCTGCCTATCATTTGTTTCAATATTATCCCTTTTCATTGCTTTCTCCATTGCAACAAGAGCATCTGAAAACAGTTACAGTATTTAGATTTTATGCAACTTTATATAATTTTCTTCATTATAGAAGAATCTAGCTCCTCCTTTTCTCTCCTCACAGGAGCACAGAACAAATGGTATTCTGCCCTTTTACCAGAAAGCATCCAGAAAGTCAGTGAAGCTTTGCAGACAACTGCTGGGGTCATAAGAATCAAGGCTTCAAAATTGCCAAACTTCTCCCAAAAGAGGCAAAACTCGTCACTTCAAACTACCTCGAACCGATTAGTACCAATCACAGCCACCAGGCAGCCTGTTGCTAGGTTCTATGTCAACTCTCCAGGTAGTTCAGGGGTAGATAAAAACCACCTGTTGAACTGACAAACTTGGAAGGGAGGAAGGGAGACAAATCCTCCAGGGCTCTACTAGAAAGAGGCATTTAATTATATTCAACGCTTGAGATTCAGGGGAGCTCCTTGGGTTACTCCCTGCAGCTAAATAACCACACAGAAAGATGAGGGAACTCGCCAGAAGAGGCCGCAGGTACTAATTAAAATTAATGATCAATGGCCAAGGAAACACAGCCCAAGTCAACACAGATCGTCATGAATCAAGGACATACCAGGTCGCCATGATTCTGTTTGGTCGCCAAAACCTCCAAGCTTGAATATCTTTTGCCCCCAAGACATACTAGAAAAGTCCATCATGAAAACAGTATACTGTATTTGCAATCATCATCATCCTTGGGATATACCACAGGCTGGCTAAACTTGATAACACCGTGGACAACCTGAGATATACGAGCCTTGAAACGGGGGGACCAACAAGATAGTATCAAAACAGTGTCCGCCGAAGTGAAGCCAGTGGTTCTTGTGAATCCAGTAGTTGTCTGTAAAACTTTGCTTACTTTCTGGATGCTTTACCAGTGAAATGGCAAATGGCAGACTATCATCTACTCTCTCTGCCTCAGAGGGGCCAGGTTCTGGTAGGTCAAACAGAGCTCCCACAACTGATATTCTTTAGTATAGAGAAATCTCAGTGATATAGCTACAGAGAGCCACCAATGGGCTCCCCCAGAAATCCTTTCATCCAATTCTTCAATTATACAGACAAAATATTTCCCCAGAATCAGCTTCAGATTATGAGAATTCTGTTCAGATCAACAAAAGACAGCCCAGATTAATGGAAAATAAAATAAATTTTTTAACCAAGCCTCATTTTCTCTTCATTATGAACTGTACCACCGAATACACAGGCTTCAAAACTAGACAAATCGAGTCACTTTTAGGATCAATTTTATTCCTAATTATGTAATGGTTTTTGAACTGGAAGATCCTGTTTAACAAACTTATTGAGATTCTACAATAAGAGTCACACCCATTTTTACTTGTCAAACCAAGAGATGATTGATAAGGTAATTAATAGGAGAAAGTGCTAAGCCATTATGAATATACAGCACCTGGAAGGAATAGAAGTACAGGTATAAGGATTTAGGATAGGACTGAGATAAGGAATGCTGCCCAACCACTTGAATGATCGGGAATTGAACGCCGATCTGCTAGAAGCGAGGCCGTTGTTGTATCATTCCGTGCAAGTGGTTGGACAAGAGACAGTTAGGTCAACTTTCATCTATCTGGGACCTAAAAAGGCTCTTAAACTGTGGGACTCTTAAATTTAAGAGTCCCACAGAAATGCCTGTATGAAAGCTAGAAATACAAGAGGGGAGACACTCAGACTACAAATAGTGATGAAAATTTTTCAAACAAAAATAAAAATAAAACAGTGTTTAAAGGCAATGTATTGAGATTGGAAATTTTTTACTAGCAGAGTACCACAATGCTCAGTAACACTAGTACTGTACCTTACCTTGAGATGGTATCGGGGCTTAGCGTCCCCGTGGCCCGGTCCTCGACCAGGCCTCCTACTGTACAGTACTGTAGTTATAAACTATTTACCAGAAGGAATTCAAAGTTATAGGCATTTATATCTTATTCACAAATGTTGTATCTACAGACTTTACAGCACAGGACCTTAATCACATACAGTAGTGTTTACACTTACACTTTGCATTGTGTGCAGAGCTACCATTCATCATACAAAGTTCAACCCTTAGGTTTCAGTGAAAATAGTACTTGAGTAGCTCACCATTTTCACTTTAAAATAAGTAAACTAAAACAATGATATCATGTCCTTAAAGAATCACATTCAACTTACCAGTCGCCACCTGATGTCCAAAACCACGAGAACCTGAATGAATCATGACACACACTTGGCCTTTCTCCTCTATCCCCATTTTACTAGCTGCCCATTTGTCATAAATTTCATCCACTACTTGAATTTCAGCATAATGGTTTCCTGCTCCAAGCGTGCCCAACTAAAGGAGAAAAAAAATTATTTGTAAAAAAACCAACGTTGAATGTAATGAAACGCCATTTACTGGGTGAGTCCCGGAGGCTCCCTGGAGCTTACTAGGCTGAAATGCTAATGTCAGACTTTGGCATCAGTCATGTTAATGGAGTTCTTATGCGCCTACCGGGGACCACAAGCCAGAACCTGGCCCCCCTCTAGAGAGGCAAGGGGAGCAATGGCCTATAGAAACCCTCGTGTGATTTAAAGCATTCTATGTCTCCCATTGACCGGGTTAGGCACCCAGAAAGGTAGGCGTCCCAAAACAAACCACTATTCTGGTGAAAATTACAACCAAAAGCCGAACGAGTGGATAGAACTTCCCAAACAAAACCGAGCAAACTAGTACTAGTATGACGTCACCTGTCGTCGTGCAGCTGTCTGCGCAACTCCCCCCTCCCTGGGAGGGAGAAGGGGGTAGCCCCAGACCTACCGCGCTGGCGATGAACACCCCAGTTCTGAGGCTGAATGTCAAAACACGCGAAAAAAAACGCCGACCGAAGGGAGGGAGGGATACCTGGGAGCCTTTGGGATTCACCCAGAAAATGGCATTTCATTACATTGAACACTGGTTTTCTGGGGAAAACCCCTACGGCTCCTCGGAGCTAACTACCCACAGAGGAAAAGAATAGGGACTTACCCGGGAGGCGGATGCTGCTCACTCCTCAACCCAAAGTCGAGACAACTGGCTGCATCCGCCGACCCAAAGCGACACAGGCCCAACTGGGCCCAGGAACGTTTACAAGGTAACGAGCACCCAGGACCCTTTTTGACCACCAAAATCCCAGCGCCCGAATGTCAGCCCAGGACATATTGCCAAAGAGGGCGGCAAAAGCCGCAAACTTGCGGACGTCATGGGCACGGGGATAGACCACAGGATGGCTAGCCTTAATAACCCAGCGGATGACCTGGGAGACCCACACCCTCGAACAGGAAAGAAGGGAAACCAGATCAAAACAAATCGCGTCCGCGGACACAGAAGCCGTGGCGCGCAAATAATGGCGGAGAGCTGCAACCGGACACAAAACATGATGCACCCCCAGCCTAACCAACCAAGCAACAACCCAGGGACCCCTCCAGAAAGCAGCATTCGCAGTCTCATTCTTCGCCAGAAAAGGAGGAGAAGGCTGCAGACGAACAAACCGATCCCCCCGACTGAAAAAGCAGAAACCTCTGCGCCGGAGGAGAGCATAATGTTCACCTACCCGACCCCCAGAGGCCAATGCCAACAGGAAAAAGAGCCTTTAAAAAACAATCCGGAACCGAAGGGGCCACAACAAAACGAGAAGTAAGAAAAGAGAGCACTCTGTCCAATGACTAGAACGGCTCGGGCGGTGCATGAGCAGGCCGGAGGTGAAACAATGCCCGAGACAGCTTGCGAAACGGCGCAGACGTGACATCAATACCAAAAGCAAGCTGAAGCGGTTCCCCCAGCGCCGCACGATACAAGGGGGACAGTGCATAAGAAGACAGCCCCTGGAACAACCAAGAGAGAAAGGACAACACCACCCTAACAGAAAGCGAAGTACAACAACGAAGACGTAAGAAGAACCGGAAGGACCGCCAGGAAACATCATACTGCTGCCGAAACGAAGTCCGTAGGTGGGACACTAACAAGGAAGTCACTTGATCACCATAGAGATGATAAACTTGAGTCAAAAATACCATACGCGAAGACTCGAGGAGAAGATTGAACCATCCAAGTGACGTACTGGTCTGATCTGCTGGAAGAGGCGGAGCCGCGGAAAAACCTCGGGGTTTGGACACTGAGCAAGCAGTGCCTGAAACCACAGCTGGGCCAGCCACCAAGGGACCAAGAGGACAACTCTCCCCTGGTAAGTCTCCAAGCGAGTCAGGAACTGGAGCAAAAGCTGAACTGGGTGAAAGAGGTACAGTAACCCCCACTTCAACCAGTCCTGCCGAAAGGCGTCGACCCCGACGGCCTCGCAGTCGGGAAAGAGTGCCACATACAGGGGATGGCGCCACGACCACGCCGACGCGAAGAGGTCCACCTTGGGATGTCCGAACGTCTGGCAAAGCCAACAGGAGTTGGCATCGACCCTCCAGTCTGTGGAGAGGGGAACGAAACGAGACAGGCCATCGGTCAAGACGTTGGACACTCCCTGCTCGTGAACTGCCAGGAGAGCCAAACCCCGAGAACTCAGCAGACGAGTCACCTGAAGCGACCAGCGCCAAAGAACCAAGGACTGCATCGAATTCCCCCAGTTCAGACAATGAACCACCAAGGAGCAGTTCGAATGGATCCGGATCGTGGACCCGCAGGCGACTTGAAGCCTCCGAAGAGCTCCCCACACAGACCCTTGAGCAACCACCGGGTGACCCAGGAGCCCCCCAGAAACAGGCACATGCGGGACTGCAGCCGCAGAAGAGACTCCGGAGGAAGAGACAAGGAAGCGGGCCGAGTCCCCCCCACACAAGGCCCAGCCAGGTCTCAACCTGGGAGGGAACTAGATGGGCCTTCCTCCAGTTCACCAAGAACCCGAACCCAGCAAGCTAAGAAAGAAACAGATCCCTGGCCAGCAGACAAGCGGACTGGCTGAGAGCCCAAACCAGCCAGTTGTCGAGGTAGGCCAACACTAACACCAAACAGATGCAGATGGGTCACCACGACCCACGTGAGGCACGTGAAAATGCGAGGTGCCAGGTTCAAACCAAACGGGAGACAACGAAAACGGTAAGCATGAAGCTTTACAACAAAACCGAGCCAGTCCCTGAACCCCGCATGAATCGGGACATGCCAATAAGGGTCCAGGGACACGATCCAAGCGTTCGGCTCCAACAGGAGCCGAGCCTGGGACAGCAAGTCATCCGAAAGGAGGGGCAATGAACCCAAGGGTTCAGACGGGACAAGTCCAGAATGAACCGCAGGTCCGCACAGTCCTGTTTCGGGACTGGAAACAGACGGGAAACCCATCTGAGAGACGTCGTCGTTTTGACCACGCCCAAGCGAACCCACTCCATGATGACCTGACATAGCACAGGGGAAGAAGCCTGCCACGCCAGCCTCGAACACCCCGCAGGGAAAGGGACCACCCAATGCAAACCGGAGGCGTGCAAAACGATCCAAAATGCCCACAAATCATGGGACCAGGCGTGAGCGAACAGCGCAAGCCTTCTCCCCATTGCCCCGTCAATGGGGTGAACCACGAAAGGGCCAGAGCCTCTTACGAGACCCAGAACCTCGCACAGAGCGAACACCACGCCGACCAGACAAAGGCGGGTCCGAAGGAGGAGCCGAACCCAAACCTAACACCAGTGGCCTACCACGACAAGAGGAACCCCGAGCCTTGGCACGACTGTTCAGAGAAGTTCCACCATGGGACCCCAGGAGAACCAGCAAGTCCGACATAGGATGGCAAGAAGCCGAAGCAGCCTGAATATACTGCGCAACAGCGGAAGCCTCAAACAAGAGAGGACAAAAAGGGGAAGACGTCCTAAGAGCCAAGGCCCAAGCGGATTCCACAGAGGAAGCAAGCACAGTCTGCCAACATGCGAGCCAGGAAGCATAAAACAGAGCAACCACATCCTGCAAGATCGGCGCTAAAAGCTTCAGCAAGGCAGCTGACGAGCGAGCCACCGAAGCCAAGGCGCCAGACCTAGGAGCAGCCCAAAGCACCCTCACATCCTGCATGAGGGAAAAGAAGCACAAGGCCACAAACAAAAGGCCCTGAGCGCGCAAGTCCTCCACCAACTGTGCCGCCGAAAGGGAGGGACCCTGCATATGGAGCTGAACAACACCAACATCCCGGGGAAGGGCAGGAGCAAACAAGCACTCGTTGAGGTGCTCAAGGTCGCCCCCAGGAAAACCTGAAGCACCATCGAAGCCTCCCGCCACTCAAGCGTGCAGGAACGGCAGAAGTAGTGCCAAGCCTCCGAGGCAAAGACAGGACAGTCCTCCAGCCAGGACGACTTCGGAACCTCGCAACGGAGCCAGAAAGGGAACAAAGTCCCAAACCTGAAAGCTGAGAGATCCATTGCCGAGGCATAATCTGGGTCATGCAGGAAGTTTGCCGCAAGGGTCGCACGCACCGTAGCAGGTTGGATGCGAGAAGCCGAAAACCTCCGGAAAGACGGAACCGAAGCACCTGGGGACGGGGGAACACAGAACCAAACCAGGGGAGGGGCAGACACCAAGTCCAACTCGTACACAGAGGGGGAAAAGAAAACCCCACTCCTTGTAACAGTAAGCCCCCACTCAAGGGGGTAGAAAAACCCAGGCGGGGTCCAGCGGGGCCCAAGGCCCCCCCAAGTCAGCACCTCCCTAACCCCAGGGTCCTCCTCTGCAGAACCCACTGGCCAGAGGCTTCGACCGGGGAAGGAGACTTTAATGCCTATCACTACACCGGAAGGGGCATCCCCCGAGGCTGCCCGAGTCTCACGACCAACTAACCCCTACCCCGACTCGGAAGCAGGGGAGGGGAACCAGAACGAACAACAGAAGGGGAAGGACTAGGAGGTGCGGACTGAACCAGAGTCAAAGCGACTCCCACCCCAAAGTCCGGGTCCCTATAAGCAAAACGGGGCAGCCGCGGGGAATCCGGGAGAGCAACCAACTAAGCGTGCTGCAACAAACGAAACTTAGAATGGAATGGCTGCGCAGCCTGTACCCGAAGATGATCATCCACAGATTGGGTAAACCGAGTCGCCAGCAAGCAGCAATAATCACAGAACTCGGGGTCGAAAGTGTCACCGACCCAACTGGCTGTGTGACGGAGGCAAAAACAGTGAGGGTCGCCCTGAGACAAGGGGACCGAACAACCCTCAAACTCGCATAAAGCGAAGGGGGACCCCAGGGTCACATCCATCAGACCCACGCGGCCTCTAGGGGATTCCCAGGGTCTCGAGCGTTTACTTGAAGAGGACATGCGCTCAGGTAAACCCAGGCAGGGTAGTGCTAACCGGCACCCAAAACTACCGAACAAGCTGAACCCCAGGGAGGTGTACACTCACGGGGACCAAGCAGGGG